GGAATCGTGCATCTCCCCCCACCCCCAATATCTCCTTAAACACTTCCAATTTTTTAGCTGACTGACTAGCCAAGATGTCAACCTGGGTAGCTTACATCAGTGGTGGCCTAGCTTTGGTTCTCAGATTTGTGCAAATTCTACATTCATTCAATGCATATTTGAGATCCCCTCTCAATCTCCAAAGACAAAAAGATATCAGATAGAAAGATTTAAAAAAAAAACAAAAAACTTTTTATTGTGATTTGGGTGAAAGTTTATAGAGCAAATTTCCATTCAACAATTAACACACACTTTGTTTCATGTCATTGATTGCAGTCCCCTCAATGAAACATCACTCCTCCCACTTCCTCCCTGTGCTTCTCATTTCCATTCCTGCTTCCCTCATAACCCTTTCTGCCCTCTGAACTTTGTCCTTGGGCAAAGACTGCCCTTTTGATCTCAAATATTTGATTGTCCTAAGAAGTGTGACTCTTTCTAGAATTCTTGCTCATCTTGTAGACTTGTATATTGTTTGACTGAAAATTGCACTATGGGAGTAAGTTTAGTTCCAGGTCTGAAGGGCCTTAGTCTTGAGGGTTCCACCAGTCTCTATCCGATCAGTAAGCCTGCTCTTTTTTATGATTTTGTGACTTTTGTTTCACATTTTGCTCCCACCCTATCCAGTACCTTCTAATGGGATCCCTTTTAGACCAGTCCGTAGTGGTAGCCAGGCACCGTCTGATTCTTCTGGTCTCAGTGTCATGGAGGCTAAGGTTCACGTGGTCCATTAGTCCTTCGGACTAATTCTTTCCATGTATCTTTGATTTTCTTTACTCTTCTTTGCTCCAGATGGGAGAAGACTAATTGTTGCACCTTAGATGACCACTTGCAAGCTTTTAAGACCCCAGTTACTACTCACCAAAGTGGGATGTAGAACATTGTCTTTGTGGACTATGCTGTACTAATTCACCTGGATGTCTCCCGAAACTATGGTCTGAGTCCCCAGGCCCAATGACTTACTCCCTCAGGATTTTTGGTTATGGCTAAGAACCTTTCATAACTGTGGCCCTTGTGTGCTCTACTATATTCATGGATATATCTGCAGCATATGTCAATACATATGTAGACAAATCCTTTGTCAAACCTGTATATATTTGTGGGTGTAGTGCCGTTCTCCTTCCCACACCTGTTCAGCTTGCATGTCTATCTATGTATCCACTCATAGGTTATTGGTTATTGTTATTACTATTATTGAAAGATTGTGTATGGGTTAGTGTTTACCTCTGTTGCCTTTAACTCTTGTACTCTTCCCAGTGCCTCCCTTTCCTTGATCATTTTGTGCTGACCTCTCCCTTATCTTATGTTGCCATCCCCTTTACCCAAGTTAATATGTGCCCACCCTCCAATTAGTGGTTTACCCTCCCTTCTCCTCCTATCTCTGGTAACCATCAAACACTATTTCTTTTTGTGTAAAAATTTTTCTTGACTCTTTATAACAGTAGTCTCATACAATATTTGCCCTTTTGTGATGACCTAATCTCACTTAGCAAAATTTTTTCTAGGTTCATCCATGTTATGAAGTGTTTCGCAGATTTGTTGCTGTTCTTTAACATTGCATAGTATTCCATTGTGTGTATGTATCATAGTTTATCTATTCATCCATTGATGGGCAATTAGGTTTCCATCTTTTTGCTATTGTGAATAGTGCTGCAATGAACATGGATATGCATATATCTTTTCATATCAGGGCTCTTATGTCTCCAGGATATATACCTAGTAGTGGGATTGCTAGATCATAGGGTATCTTTTTAAACAAGTGTCATACCATTTTCCAAAGTGGTTGCAGCCAAATGGAGCATTGAAAAATGAATGCAAATAAATATCCCAAAAGGTAGCATTGCTCATAACCATCTATCTTAACACTAAGTACTTTATTAGCATCTTGTTCTACATAGAGAACAGACCTACAAATAATTTGTTGGAACTATAAAATCTTACCACCTCATAGGTATTATATTTACATTCTCTCGCTTTTGTTTTACACTGTTAAGTTATCATGAAGTCAGTATTCTGAACTGTTTATGTATAGGGACAGTGAGCCAACAGCAGATTAACTTGCTTGCTCCGGACCTTACAACTAACAGGTGGCAGAATCAAAACAAATGGAAAAGTTGTGGTAAATTATAGTCAATGTCATGAGACAAAGAGTATATGTGAACTGCTGTATGGAAAGTGAATTTGCTCTGTAAATTTCCACCCAAATCACAATAAAAGAAAAAGAAAAAAAAAATGGAAAAGGTTTTCAGCTTTTTACTTAGCCCATGAAGTCACAGTTACAGGGGGGTAAAAAAGTTAGTTAATATCACTTGTTCTTTTCCCATAAAAGTAAAATCATGTGTATTTCCCTGCATTTCATCAGGGAAACTGGTTTCTTCTAAAACCTGCACATTAATCAGGGGTAACACTCTATCAAAGTGAAATAAATGCAGTGTCTGCTTAGTGCTTGAGTCCAAAAGGCAGACTGGGAAGAAGTGAGTATGTCCCTGAGTTATCGGTTTCATTTTGGGACCAATTCAACTTAGTTTCAGGGAAAATCTGGAATTCATTTATAGATTTAAAATGAAGATGGGAAGATATTTGGCAGTTGCTGCCCAAATTCTGTCTAGGGCACCTCGAGAGAGCACAAATGCTCTCACTGCCATGAAGTCAGATGCAACTCATAGCAACCCCTCCTTGGGTTTCTGAGGCAGTATCACTACAGAAGTAGATTGCCCAGTGTTCTGGTTACCTAATGCTGCCTTGACAAGAATATACCACAAATGGGATGGCTTGAACAAACAGTTTATTTTCTTACAATTTGGGAGGCTAGAAGTTGAGTTCAAAGTGCCAGGCTCTAGGGGCTGGGTGAAAGCCCCTTGGCCTTGGGTTTCAGCTCTGCCTCCAGCTCCCGGTCCACTGAAGCTAGAGGTTTTTCTTCACTCATACAGCTGCTGGCTGCTGAGGCTGCCAAGCCCAAGGTTGACAAGTAAAAAGGCATAGTCCCAATGTTACCAAACCACACGGCAGGCCATTAATTCAAGTTTATTGTAAGTCCCAAAGTTGGCAGAGCACGGCAGGCTGCTGAACAACGACACGGCTACATGCAGGGTCCAAGCGTGCCATAAGCTAGAGACCATTCCCAAAGCTGCTTCTTACACACGGGAAGCAGACCACATACCCAAAGCAGCTACTCAGGTGCTTGTGGTAAATCTCACCATGGAGTTGATTGCCAGTCTCATCATGGGGAATAACTACTACCAGCTGCCCAACCACTCAACCAGGCCCAGCCAAGTTTACACACAAACATAACCACCATACCCAACCTTCCTTCCAAGGAGTGGCTGGTGGGTTTGAACCCCACAACTAGCCCCTAGTTTTTTCCCATTTGATACAGGATTATCTGAAACAGCTAGAGAAATAACTTCATATACAATTCTATTTGAACAATACCCAATAATGGAGAAAAAGGGCTTTTCTGTTACCCAATTACCATATTCATGGTGTAAGTGTAGGTTTATATACCCTGTCCAGTACAAAAATGATGACAGAAAGTAAACATAGTCTCTTCTAAAAATAGTTGTTTACAATTTATATCTTAAAGGAAAAACCTTTGTTTTTATGCACATTTCTTCATTAAGAAAATTGAACGATACATGTCCGAGGGACAAATACATATACAGTGAAAACTGTGGGAGCCAGTACTCAATGGGACTGCCCTATTGATCTAATCTTGCAACTTTTCCACCTTGGACAGGGTGCAGTCTTACACTTAGTAAGTGGTAATATGTTGTTGTTGTTGTTGTTATGTGCCGTCGAGTTGGCCCCGACTCATAGCGACCCCTCCTTGGGTTTCCGAGGCAGTATCACTATGGAAGTAGGATTGCCCAACCTTCCTTCCGAGGAGTGGCTGGTGGGTTTGAACCGCCAGCCTTCTGGTTAGCAGTCAAGTGCTTTTAGCCACTATGCTACCAGAGCTCCTAGTGGACAATATTTGCATTTTCCTTCTCTCACAGCTTTTCACCTTACACAGTTTCCAGCTTATGCAAGCTTTACTGAATAGGTACCAAGCCTTAAAGCAAAAAATCGTGTATAACATCAGATATGTTGAAGGACAGAGAAGAAGATAGTCTGAAGTCATCGGGAGCCCCACGATAATTTTCCTCTTGAGTTTCCTCTGTTCATAGCCTGAGAAAAACACCTTGCCTGTCAAGCTTCTGGGCTCCAGGCCTTATTTCTCTAACTTGACTCTCCTGTGGATGTCATTATTGGGTTTATCGATCTTTGTACTATAATTTATTTTAAAACAGTAGGAAGCTCACACAGTCTCTGGAAAGGCCAGAGAATCAGTCAGCCTTGACGATTATGTAGCCAGGAATATCAGTCTCCCAAACCACAAAGACAATGATGCCACTGACCAGACACAACATTTGACATAAACACCACAACTCACAGGTGACACTTGGGATTAGATGTTGAAAGCTCTGCTGCTGCTGGTGGACATCTTCCTTGTAACCACAGGAACAGGTAAATGTACATAGATGTATATTTTTTTCCATGAACATGCTAACATATATTGCTATCAATAAAGATATTTTGAATTGACCCATGAAGTAATGGCTGGGTGAGAATTAGACAATAGTAGATTATGGATGAACTGTGTTAAAAGGAAAAAGACAGGTGTTCCTAAGAAACTATGGAGAGAGGTGGGATTTCAAAAGCTTAACGCAAATCTCTTCATAACTAAACTTTTCCCATCTGAAAATTGGTATCTCTAAGTAAGAATGAATTATCAAACTGCTGAGGGATTAAAGAATGAACTTGTACTGCTCTTACTTTGCTGAGTTTGTTCTATTGATCTCCTCCTACATTGGGAGCTCTTCTTGATACCTTACTATACCTACATAGTCCCCAAAACTGTAGGGAGAAGGTTTGAGGTAGCTTATTTTAAATGAAACTGAAATGAAAGTTCACTTCCTCATTGATACCTCATGTGACAAGTTCCAATTTCTATTTAAAGTCACTGTAACAGAAGTCTCCTCGCTGCCTTTGAAATCTTTGGAGCAAACCCACCAATTCAAGGACTCTTACTATGGGAGCAGCTGCTGGTTTTAGCCTGTATGTAGTGCCTGTTCTTTTTTTCTCGTTCCTTCTTTAAACACTCCTCCTTTAAGTTTTTAGCTTGCTCTGCCTGCCGGGTTTACAATGTTTTGTTTCAGGAAGTAAATTAAGTAATCATGTCGCCCGATTTGCTGCTTCTCTTTTTCACTATAAAGAATCTGGTTTTTTAAAAGTTAATGTCTGCTTGAACATCTAAGCCTTAAATTGAAGCATAGCTTTCTTTGGAATATAATCTGAAGGTTCAGAGTGTTAAAATTCTAGCTATTTTGAATTAAAAAGAAATGTTCAAGGAAGTAAAATGTAGTTTGAGGGACCTAATCACTGAACTTTTGTTGAAAGTCCTTTTGAATTAAATACAGAAGTGGTGTTCTGAAGAGTAGTTAATTGCTTCCAGAGAAATATATAGTTTGATGCTAGAAAAAAAGTTTAAAAAGCAAAATGACCCATGGGCATGAGAGAAGTACATAGAAGTTGTCTTTTAACTACCTTTAAGGGTCATAAATGTTTAAATAGACCAGTTGAGAAGAACTCATGTATTCAAAAATTCTGAAGACAAATCCAATTTTTCAGGGGTTTGTCTTCTCCTTAAGGGTGATTTTTTGAAAGGAAGAAAGAGAATTTCCATTAATTAGAGTTGTTGGAAAATCCCAGAAAACCCTGTCTGTCTTCCTCCCAGTTATAAATTTAGTTTACTAGATACTGGAACCCACCAGCCACTCCTCAGAAGGAAGATTGGGCAATCTGCTTCTGTAGTGATACTGCCTCGGAAACCCAAGGAGGGGTCGCTATTAGTCGGGTCTGACTCGAAGGCACATAACAACAACAGATATTGGGAAATTTCTGAAAACAACTTTTTAAAGTGCTACTGAATAATGGAAATGCTAGTTCACATGTAAACATGAAGTTATATGTAGCTATAGATCCCAGAAAGTTTTCTATATAATTCTGATTTGATACATTTTTATTACTATATATATATATAATATATAGTCACTATATATATATATATATATGTTGTTGTTATGTGCCGTCACTATATATATATAGTATATATATACACACTATATATATTGGGACTATATATATATATAGTCACTAAACACGCTGCTAGTAACCACTCTTCCTATGTTATCTTTCCTTCAACAGAATGAAATGGTTGGTATGGACGTTCCTGGTGTGCTCATCTGCAATGGCACAACTGCACAATGATCCCACCCTGGATAACCACTGGGAGCTCTGGAAGAAAACGTATGGCAAACAATACAAGGAAGAGGTAGATGAGATTGACCCTCAAGTGATATGTTTCTGTACCTTATGCTTTCTCTTTGTCCAAATTGTATTCTTATAAGCTGTGTTTTAATCAATATTATTCACTCATATTGTCCTTGGTACTAGAGATCTAGCAGGAAGCAAAATGAAGTTCCTATTCTCATGCAGCTTACATTTACTGAGAGAAACAAGTAAATAAACAAGCGAAGACGTAGTATGCTAGATGGTAGTAAGTGCAGAAGAGAAAAGTAAAGCAAGGAATGGGAGACAGAAATAGCCCTAGGTGATGACAGTAAGAGGTCAGGAGTGGTTTTTCCATATATATGATAGAATGGTCAGAAAAGGCTTTACAAGTAAGATGACAGTTGAGCAGAGAACTGATGGAAGCCGGGGAGCAAGCAAAGTGGATAACTGGGGGCAAAAGTCTCAGGTCAAAGGAAACTGAGTACAAGACTCTGAGGAAGGAGCACATTTGGCACGTTTGAGGAACACAAAGGCTGTCTTAGGCTAGGTTCTCAAGAGAAGCAAAACCAGTGAAGCTTATAAATATATATATATATAGAGAGAGAGAGAGAGAAAATTTATCTCAAGTAAATGACTTACACAGTTGTAAAGGCTGGCAAGTCTCAAGTTCATGGGTCACATGTTAAGATCAAGGCTTCTCCTGACTCATGCAGCTACAGGGGCTGACAAACCCATGATCAACAGGCAGTATAGGAGGCTGTAGGCTTTGGGGGCTGATGAATCCAAGATCAGCAGGTAAGGTGACAGGCTGTTGGCATACAGGCTGTGAAGGCAACAATCCCAAGATTGGCAGGCAATATGGCAGGCCACTGGTTCAAGTCTAGGAAGCAGAGATCATGATAAGCTAGATGCAGGATTAAGATCCAGCAGAAAGCCAGAGAATTTACCCAGGACGTGTATATAAATACTGAAAGCAGGTCACATCCCCTGAGGAAACTCCCTTTCAACTGATTGGCTACTCACAGCACATCTCATCATGGAGGGGATTACATTACATTAGATCTCATCATGGCAGATGACTATTTAAACCACTTAGAATCACGGTCCAGCCAAGTTGACATATCTTAACTATCACAAAGGCCTTATCACAGTCCCTGATACATAGAAAGGCTACCAAGTATTGTTTCTTGCCTCTCATTTCCCATTGTGTCCTTTTACATACTTTAAACCATACTTAGTGACAACAGATGAACAGATAAACAAAATGTGATGCATACATACAATGGAATACTACTCAGCCACTAGGAGAAATGAAATCTTAATACATGCTAAAATATGGATAAAGCTGGAAGACATTATGCTGAATGAAATAAGTCAATCACAAAGGGACAAATAATGTATGACCTCACCTATATAAAAAGACAAGAAAATACAAAGGTATAGAGAATAAAGTTTATTAGTGGTTACCAGAAGCAGAAGGGGGGGCGCAGATTTATCAGTGATGGAAACAGAGTATTGATTGGGGGGGGTGTCATGCCACTGATTATTGTAATTGCTGTCAATAAACTGCACAACTACATAAAGAAAAAAGGTGTACTTAGTAACTAATTTTAAAACTTTAAACTTATTCTTCTAATAAGTAAGCCCTATAACTCTGAGTTTATAAGAGATAGCATTATGTATTAATTAATTTTATGTATTACTTGGGAGCTCTGATGGCATAGTGCCTAAGGCATTTGACTGCTAACCAGAAGGCTGGTGGTTCAAACCCACCAGCCACTCCTCGGAAGGAAAATTGGGCAATCTACTTCCGTAGAGAGACCACCTCAGAAACCTAAGGAGGGGTCGCTGTGAGTTGGATTCTATTCGACGGTAGTGAGTTTGGTGGGTTTTTTGGGTATGTATTATTTTGTATAAAAATAACACTCAGTAGGACATGCACTCTGAGTTGTTCTCTTAGTGGAGATGAATTTCACACTTAACAACTCCCATTTAGGACAGGCCCCCAATTTCAAGGTTGACAAGAGTTTGATGTGCAGTCAGTACCACTATTTAGCTATGAAGTCTATCACTTTTTTAAATGATGCCAACCCCTCAGGAGGAAAAAGCATAACTTTTGATTAGTATTACTGATATCTTTGTAATTTATCTCAAAATTCACTTGTTTCTTTTATCCTTTCCTGCTCTTTTTTTAGATTTGTTTGTCTTTATTCCATTTGTTTCCCCTCTAATGGTTTGGAAAAAAGTCCTAGTAGCACAGTGGTTAAGTGCCCAACTGCTAGCCTAAAGGTCAGTAGTTCGAACCTACCAGGCACTCTGTGGGAGAAAGATGTGGCAGTCTGCTTCCATAAAGATTATGGATGGTAATAAAGATTATAGCCTTGGAATCCCTACAGGACAGTTCTATTCTGCCTTATAGGGTCACTGTGAGTTGGAATTGACTAGAGTTTGAGGGTTTTTTTTTTTTTTTTGGTAGTGATTTGGAAGTGTCTGTACATGCTTACCTCTGGGGTAACAAAGTAAAACCTTGCTCCCAGGAAGAGGAGAGCTGAAGGCAGGCTCAATATTTAAAGCCAGTGTCTGGGCTGGGGAGCTCCCATTCAGTGAACAAAACTGCTGCTCACAGCTCACTCACTAGGGTTACAACTTAACAGAAACTGTGGCTTGGGGAGGCAGAGGTGGTTGGTGTAAACCAAAACTAAACCCATTGTTGTCAAATTGATTCAGACTCACAGTGACCTTACAGGACAGAGTAGAACTTCCCCATAGGGTTTCCAAGGCTATAATCTTTACAAAAGCAAACTGCCACATCTTTCTCTCATGGAGCAGCTGGTGGGTTTAAACTACCAACCTTTCGGTTAGCAGCTGAGCACTCAACCACTGCACCATCAGGGCTCCTTGGGGGTGATATAGGGGGTGATCAATACACACGGTACCCTTTCAAACTAAAGGGTATTCATATTGCATTCTATGTATATTGTATTCTGTATAAATGAAGCCCTTGGAAGGCAAGAAAAGCAATAGAATATGAATTCACTCCAGATAAAATTAGAGTAATAGAGACAAAAAGGTCTTTAAAACAAAATATCCACACAAATGAGCAAGAAATTATGAAATGAATTAGAAATTCAATTAGAAATCTTGGAAATGAAATATACAGTTATTGAAATAAGAACTTAATAAAAGGGCTAAACTCCAGGCTGGAGTGAGTTGGATAGAATGAGCAAACTGGAAGGTGGCACTGAGACATTCACTTTGAATGCAGCACATGGAAATTTACAAACTATGAAAATGCAGGTAAGAGACATGAACGAGACTTTGAGGCTTCAGAATACACCTGATGAAAGTTTCTAAAGAAGGGAATTAGATGGAATGGTGTAGAAGTAATATTTGAAGAGATAATGGCTGAGATTTTCCAGATATGAAAACAATACTGAGGTCTCCAATCAAAAGTGCTCCCCAATAAATGACAACACTAAGAAGTACACAAGAACAAGGGGCATTCTAGTAAATGTTATACACAATTTTGCAACAATAGCAATAACAACCAAAATAACATGTGTGAGGTTACATGTTGTTGTTGTTAGGTGCCGTCGAGTCGTTTCTGACTCATAGCGACCCCATGCACAGCAGAACGAAACACCGGCTGGTCCCGTGCCAGCTCCATGATCCCTGCTATACTTGAGCCCATTGTCGCAGCCACTGTGCAATCCATCTTGTCAAAGGCCTTCCCCTCTTTCGTCGACCCTCCACCTTACCAAGCATGCCATCCTTCTCCAGGGAATGGTCCCCTCTGACAACATGACCAAAGTAGGCGAGATGAAGTCTGGCCATCCTCGCTTCCAAGGACCATCTTGGCTGCACTTCCTCCAGGACAGACCTGTTAGTTCTTTTAGCAGTCCATGGTACCTTCAGCATTCTTTGTCAGCACCACAACTCAAAAGCATCAACTCTTCTTCAGTCTTCCTTATGCATTGTCCAGCTGTCACATGCATAGGAGGCAATTGGAAATATCATGGCCTGTGTCAGGCGCACCTTAGTCCTCAAGGAGACATCCTTGCTCCTCAGCACTTGAAAGAGTTCCTTCACAGTCGACCTGCCCAGTGCTGCACATCATCTAATGTCCTGACTGCTGCAAATACATATGCATATGGGAAGGAATATGTATATACATATGCATATGCATGCGTATATTGGTGTAAAGACTCTCTAACTCTGTTAAAGGCAAGTAAAGACTTTTATTGAAGCCGAAATATCATTCAAATGGGGAATCATGGAAACCTTAACAAGTGAAGCCATGAATCCAAGGGAGAAGGCAGGAATTACACATAGTTACGTGCCATACAAGAAACTACAAAATACAATATTCTGATTGGTTTACAGTGAGTGATTGAGGTCAGTCAAAAGGAGGACAGAGCAAAGCTTTGAGTATTAACATTATTGGTTATATCAACACAACTGGGATACATTGATTGGCTAAAACACAAAATTTTAAGGTATGTGGTCATGGAAGAAGTCTCATGACCAATCACAAAACAATGCCATGATGGATATTTTCAGGAAAAGATTGATAAAAATGACCTCACCCAGGACACAAACTTTCTTGGGGAGATCTGAAGCAAAGAATTTTGATAAGGTGTCGGTTACAGATTCTTTGTTGCATAGTATCCAGATTCTATATTGCATAATATGCACATTCTTAGGCTGACCACAAAGGAAAACATTTCTTTAATGGTAGGATTGGTTCTTAAGCAATTGGGTTTGAATCTGTGTGAGAGATTATGTGGAGCCTTTAGCATTAGTTCAGCCATTTTACCTTAGGTCAGATACCTCTTGATTTTACATCCCACATCAATGTATAGATGTGTCTGTAGGCGTATGTATATACATGTTTCTGTGTATTGCATGCATATTCATATATGTAATAAAGTACATAGGGGGCACAGTTATGGATACTTACTAGACTTAACCAAATACTTTGTGGGATTGGTTTTATTGGGTTTGAAGGCTTAGGACCATAGTGTTGTGGGACAACTTTGT